TAAATGTCAAAAAATGGTATATCAGTAGCCTCTTGCCTAAATTTTCAAACAATCCAAATTAGGCGGTATCTTCATCCAAAGAAAAATAAACAAATACAGAGAACTTTAAATAAAATTCAAAAAAAAATATTTGCCGTGAATAGCATTGTAGAAGGATAATGCAAAATGAATGGATCTGAGAAAGATTACAATAGCAATAGAAAAAAAAAATCTTAAAATAACTACGAACAACGAATGCGAAAAAAGAAAATTTCTTTTTTATTTAAAGGGTAAAAACATTTTTTTTTTTCTAGAGAAGATGATGAAGAAACTCAAACCATAAAATGAACAATAAAATATCATCTACATAATCAGAATAAACGCAAAAGAAAACAATTTGTTTGAACATATGCGCGTATCTCTATAAGAAAATCTAATTGAGCGTTCAACAAAAATAACAGCGGAAAATAAAAACAATAGCTAAGAATCCTTCAAAATAATAAAGAAGATGGCATTTTTTTTTCAAAAATAAAAGGATGTGAATTGAATGATTGAAGTTACCAAGAAGACAACACCCAATCTAACTATGAAGTGTAAAAAATTTAAGCGTAACAATAAGAAAAACAAAAACAGGAACAATGAAGTTTTCCTCTTAAAAAAAGTTTTTTTTTTCTATTTCTTAATTTATTTTTCCGTTATGCTACAGCATTAATACAAACTGATTGTCTTGCATAATAATTACTTTTATATATCAGTTGCTTTCTCTCATTTCTGTAATTCAATTCATAAATATTTCAAAAATTAAATTAATTTCCATTATAAAGTAGCTTAACTGTTTAGAACTATTAAGAAAACGTTTACAAACACCTATAAGTAGATGTGAAATTATAAAAAATTCATATCGTTCAATTTTGAGACTTTTCTATCTCCATATGCAAGAGGTAAGCACAATTTAACTTAACACCATCTTATGAAAATATTGCTATGATTAATATTGTTTTTTACGGGAAGTTGGAGAATCTTACATTTTTACGTGTAATTTGTCGAAAAGAATTTTTGTAATTGATATACGACGATTCTAAATCGAGAGAAGCCTCCAAAAACAGGTTTTAGAAACGGAGAAGTAGTAAAGGAATTATAGTGCTTCCTCTGAGAGAATTGAACTGTAAGTTTACTCAAGCTGAGGGTATGGTACCTAACGCTTTTGACAGACTTGTAACATATCTCAGAGCGAGTGAAATCAAAAAGTTGCCATTACTTTTCGACTGTTCAAGTCAAATAATAGATAGCGGAGTAAACAATCATATACTACGGTTAGGACCCTAAATCTAAACTCATTTTAACGCTACCGAATTAACCTTGAGAATAATTTTATAGATTCAAAAGCTACAATCGTGATGCGAAAGTACAAATTCTATTTCGATCTTATGGAGCCGTAACAGAAATCTTTACAGAATTTTGTATTAAAAACATAATGTAGAATCGTATCAGGCATGCTATTAATATTTGACTAAACTGACCACTGTTCAGTTAAAACAGTCATTTAGAGAATTTTCATTTGAACCTGAAAAATTTTCCATAATTTTTCAAAAACATTTTATCCCACAATCAACAGTAACAATTAAACAACCATTGAAATTGTATCAATTTTTTGTTTTTCTGCCATTTTTTTTTCTTTCTTTAAGTTTTAGTTTCAAACTTTTTTATTTTATATTTTGTTTTTATTTTTGTTTCCTTACAAAATTGTGATTATAAGAATTTTTTTCCTCTCTTTTCTTGTTTATATTTTATAAAGTCTTGTCTTAGATGTTGTGTGTTTGTAATCATATGTTTTTTTTTTATTTTGTGTTACGCTGCGTTACGTCATTTTAAGAAAATTAAAAATCTTCAACAAAACTGATGTACCAATTTTATAAACTTTTTTTCATTTCAATTTTTTGGTTTTATTTTTTTTTTCCTTATTTTATGTTATACTACCATACCAACCCATTTTTCCGATTCTTTTACAAAAAAAAAAAACTATATTAAGAAAACATTATTAAGAATATTGGAAAAATTTTTTTTCTCTTAGGTATTTTGGATAAAGTGTAAGAAATAAGTACAAGTGCTTTATAGAAAATAAAAGAAAAACCAAAACGAAAACAAAAACGAAAAAAGAAAGATAAGACTTCGTAAAGAAGATGATCGTTCCCTTGACGAAAATTTTATAATAATGTGTCTATGTGACTACTGCTACTGCTACTGCTACTACTACTAGTACTGTATTGTATTATTATTATTATTTTGTAGTTATTATGTTAACTGTTATGTTAGGAAGGAGGAAGGAGTGTATTTTATCATAGAAGCTCTTCTCTTCTTATAAAAAGAAATTTTTTACCCATTTCATTTGATATTCTTGTTTTTATTATTATTCTATGTATAACTGTTATTACTATACGTCAGTATATAAGACGTTCTTCTCACTCTCTGTTGTTATTTTTGTTATTCTCTAAAAACGTAAAGGTTAATGAGTGGTAACAAACGATTAAAATGGGACCTTTTAGTGAAATTGAAAAAAAAAATGATAATTTTTTTCTTATTTATTTTTATTTTCTCCATTTTTATTCTCTTCAAACTTATACAACTTTCTAAAATTAAAATTTGTAATAAAAAAAAAAATTTGTGAGGGAGTATGAAGAGTGTACAGTTTACACACACATTTTGAAGAGATGAAATTGAAACAAACAAAAAAATGTTATAAAAATTAAAATGTAATAAACACTTTAATTCAATTAAAAATAATAATGAAAAAAAATCAAAAGAGAAACGTTTCTTTTTTCTTATAAACGACTTAATGAGTTTTCGCAAAGTTTTCTTTCTATTGTACTTTTTATATGTAATGTATGTGTGTATATATTTGTTTTTTTTTTATTATTATTATTTAATAATAATTTGAGAATAATTATTATAATTAGAGATAAGAAGTTATGCATGTATATGTACATTAATGTACATATAATTTTTCTTTAAAATAGTTAAAAAAAAATGTCCTTAAAGAAATGAAAAATGTTTATAGTTGTTTTTTTTTATTTTATTTTCATTCTTATTTAATAAAGCGGGAAAAGTTGTATTTTCTGTTTTCTTTTGTTTCATTTTATTACAATATTAAATTAAAATTTCTTTTCATAGTTAATTAAGTAATTAGTTTTAGAAGAATATCAATTACATAAATTCTTCATATACATATATATTAATTTATTTAATTGAAATTTTAGACGCGATAATTTCACGCGTGTAAGGCGGTCTTATATAGATAATAATATTTGAAGATAATTATCTTATAAAGAATTTGAATAATTGAAATAGATAATAATATAGCAATGAATCTTATGATTCACAAGATTCACAAAATTTTTTGTGTGACAATTGAATTTGACTCATAGCTTTTAATATAGTATTGGTATTTTTTAATTCGTCTTGTAAAAAATAGTTATTTTGCAGCCTTTTGAAAAAATTTTCAAATATTATTTCTTTTTTAAGTACTTAACATTAAAGTTGCATACAATTATTTTTCCAATGCTGTTAATAATAGTAAAAAAAAATTTATGGCTTAGTTAAAACTTATTTATAGTACATACTTTGTTAATAATTTAGCAAACAAGACCTTCTTAAGAATTAATTAAGAGTTAACTCAATTTCAACATTTTTAAACTTCTTGAAAGAATTGATAGTCTCAATATCTTATTTTCAGCTTTCCGGTATATAATTGAATAAATAATACCATATAATTAAATTAAAGGTTTAAGAGACAAGAGATTTTAATGTCTGAGAGATTTTGGCGAGATGGCTTCTAGTAATACCTATCGATTCTTTTTTTAATTATTGATATAACATGCCTTAATTATGCCAAATGATATTTTTTACTTTTCATAACAATTGACTTTTTACTGATTTTAATTGCTTTCAATTTTGGTAGGAGGGCAACCTTATAGATTTTTTAAAAAAGTTAAAAATAGTCAATAAAACCATATTTAAATTTTATATAGCTAATCAATTCAAAGATGTATTCATTATTTTTATTATGAAAATTCAAAAGTTTTTCTTACTTTATGAAAGGGCAATATAGAACCGCCCAAATAACATATTGTTACATTTATTTCAAACTTTCAGGCAAATTTACAATTAGATCAAGATTTTTGTTGCATAACCAACTCTATATCCAAATTAATTTTCAAAATATCGTAAAACGCATATGCAATAATATTACATGCAAACAAATACTGCGAAAATGCCATAATATCTTAAGTCATTAGTAGAAAGTAAAAATATGAACAAAAATTGAATGAAATTCAAGATTTGATTTAAACCGGAAATACCGTTATTTTATATAGAGTTTTTATTATGTGTATTTACATAACAGCAATAAATTCAGTAAATTGCGTTATTACATAATATTAGCCATAAAACATATAGTTTATTACAGCATAAGATATTTTAGGAAATAGAATAATTAAAAATATAGAAAATGAAATTTCTTGTTAGACCCTTATCTAAATAATGAACTCTTTTTCATTTTACAGTAAACTTTAATAAATAAAATGAGTTCATCATTACCATAACAGTAATAAAGAAAAGTTTATGATTTTTTTAACATACATTGTATAAATTGTATTTCTAACAATTTGCAAAAAAAATTTTTCCGCAAAACTAAAAATTAAAATTTTAACGCCAATTTGTATTGGCACAAACATTGCTTAACATTGCTATTATGCATTTGCATTTCTTCTTACAATATTTTCATCATAAATTCATAAATAAATAATTTTTAAATTATATTTGTCCAGAAATTATGAACTTTTTCAATACCTTAACTATATTAACATTTTCATATTTACATTTTTGTGTAATGTTTGTGCAAAATCAAACTGCGTAAGATATGAGGTTTTCTTTTTTTTTAAATTTTTGTTTTTTTTTTCTAAATCCCCATATTATTTTTTGTGTATAAAACCGGCAAAATATTTCAAATTTAGCATTAGTTTTAATTTAGCTATCATCACATCTGGAAATAAAAAATATAGGCGTTCTCTAGTTAATAAATATGGTAATGTTGGAAAATAAAAATTATTTATACCTATGTTTACATAACAATTAACACTTATGTAATCATTACACAAAAAAACCCGTTTAAATAAAAATACATAATTAAAATATCAATAGTTTTGTACTAAAATTTTTAATTAATAGAAAAATTTTTCTTTTAAAATTATTTTCAGAAATTTCTGATTTTAATCACGTCCTATTACATTTCAATAACATTAGCTGATGTATCACATTTAGTCAACAGTAATGGTTATAATTATGATAGACCACAAGCAATTTTTCCACCACAACAAGATAGTGTAATAATCGAACCGCCACCACTGCCTGAAACTCAATATTTGCCACCACGTCCACAACCAATTCCAATACCAATCCCACCACCACCACCACCTTCACCACAACCTTTACCTGTATATGTTTCTTCAACACCAGCACCAATATTTTATAATATACCATCGGCTCCGGCTCCAGCTCCACTTCCAGCACCAGTGGAACCAACTTATACTGCTCCAATTCAAGCACCAGAATATTTACCGCCACCATTACCATCTCCACAAGTTTCAATTCAACAACCAATTCGTATATCACAACCAGTCCAACCAATTCAACCAATTCAAATACCAGAACCAGTTCGACCAATTCATATACCAGAACCAGTTCAAATACCAGAACCAGTTCGACCGATTCAAATACCAGAACCAATTCAAACAATTCCAGCACCACAGCCAATTCCAGTACCACAACCTATTCCTGTTATAAGGCAACAAACTCAAGCAATACCATTACCAAGGCCTAGACCAATAGAACCAGCTGTTATTCCAAGATATAATATACCTAGACCTGTACAAGAATATTTGCCACCACCTCAAGTACCAGTACAAACAGTCATATCACAACCTTCTCCAATTATATTTAGACAACAACCAGTGCCATTTTCATTAGCACCAATTCCTGTTACACCAGCACCTCATGTAATTTTACCAAATCCACCACAACCTGTGATTCAAAATTATGTTCCTCCAGTACAAACACAAACAATTGTAACACAATCCCAATCATCAGGATATAATTATGATGCTCCCAATACACCATTCTTTGCTAAGAAATAACGTGATATTAATTAGAGAAATTACATTTTTTTTTTAATTATTTTTGAATCATTATTATTTAATTTTTCCAAATTAATCTAAAAGAAAAGTAAATAATTATGCAACTATAATAAATGCATTTTTTAATAAAATTTTATTTTAATAAAAACTGTTAACTAAATTTTTGTAACATTTGCCGCTTTAGCGTTTTTACATAATTTTTGATCGTAATTTAAAATTAAAATAAAATTTAAATTTGACAATTTTACTACCCCAAACATTTAATGCCTTTATATGAAGTAATAGAAGACAACACAAAATTAAAAACATTTGTAGTACAGGATTTTTACATTCGTACAGAGAAAATAATTATTGCAGGCATAATAGAAGAACCATACTAATTATTGAACAAAAGGACTTGAGTAATCTTTACAAAATCAATTTTATGCAAGTCAAATTTTATACAAATTACACATATGTATATTTTCATTTCAAATCTAAATGGAATAATTCATATAATTATTGTTTCTGATCTGTACAATAAGGGCTTTAAATTCTTTTTGGTCAGTAATTAAATTTTAAATTAATTTTGCTCAAAAATATAAAAATCAGTTCAAGAAAAGATACCTAAACTTTTATACTATAAATTAAACCGTAATTATCTTTCCCATAATCGTACGGTGTTTCCATCAGTGTATTTAATAAATTTTGATTGGAGTTCCAAGATTAATTTCAATTTTAATATTACAAAATAAAATTTTTTTTAAATTATCATGTTATCAAATCAAAAAAAATTTTTAAATTACATTCAATTATGAATCAAATCATTATTAAATATAATAAGAATAATGAAAATATTTAATTTAAAATTAAATAATTGAATATATTTTTAATTTAAAAAATATTTTGTTATTTTCATAAACTTTTTTCTAAAAAATCTCCATATCCTGTCATTGAATTTTGTTCCTTTTTTGTTGTTGTTGTTTTTCTTCATTGAAAAATAACCTTTCATTGAATGTCCTTCCTTATAATATTTTGTATCTTTACTTTCTTTTTTCCATCTTGTTATTTTTACTATTTTATTTTGATTTTATTTATGCTATATCCTTTCAAAAAAAAATATTATAAATGAGAAATAAATTTTATTAAACGAGTTGCCAACCTTCAAAGAAAAAAAATTAAAAGACCAACAATTTATATATTTATAATAATAATAACAATAATAAGAAGAGGAAAAAAAACTTAACTGGAAGGCATTTATTCTCGTCAGCTAATAAAATCAAATATAAAAATCCCAACTTAATCTTACTTTTTTTGTATTTGTTCTCATTCGTTTTTTTCTCTCTCTTATTTAATGCTTTCATATTATTTATAATAAAAACTCATAACTTTTTCACACAGACTTTACTAACTAATTCAATGATATTTAATATTTCTTTGTACATAATAATGTATACAAAAGCACATACATAAATAATATTCGCATCTTGCTATTGAGTAAATCTAAACACACTGACTTATAATATAGGCTTGCATCATATTTTGTTTTTTTTTTTTTTTTTTTTTTCAAAAAATATACAAAATGCTAGAGAGGAAAAGAGAGAGGTAAGTTCTTTCGCAGGAATTTAGATGAATATAAAACGGGATAAAAACAACGGGCGAACGTGTAAAAAAAAAATGAAATTTAAAAGAAAAAAAAAGAAAAGATAAAAAGGAAAAAAATAAATGCTTATTTTTCTCAAAGGTGGAAGGAAAAGCAGCTATAACGAAAGAGATAACGTTTAGAATTGAAGAAAACTAAAAAAGCAAAAAAAAAGAGAGAGAAAGGAAGCAAATAAATACTACAGTTAGAAAAGGAAAAATATTATTATAATTTTTTTTTCTCTTTTATTTTTGTTTTATTTTTTTCTGTCGGGGGTTATTGGAGCGGAAGACAACCAAAAACGAAAAAAAAAAGTTAAAAAGAAATATCAAAAAAAAAAAAACAGAGAGAAAAAACAAGAAGCCCAACGAGACATTCAGTATATAAAAAGCCATTAAAACGGAAAAGTTAAATTAAAAAAATTTCCTCTTTATATTAAATAAAATATATAAAATCTCTAAACAGGACTCTTTTGTTCTTAACTGATCCTGTGAGTTTCCTGTTTTCATATTTTTTTTTATCTCTATTCGTAAATATTTTCTTCCTCTTTCATTTCTTTTTCATTTTGTATTTTACATCGTTTTGTTTTTTTTTTATCTTATTTCTGATTTTTCTAATATAATAGAATAAATTTGGGTAGATGTTTTATCAAAAATGCACATAAATGAACTTAGTATGTATGCTTTACTATAAATGTTTCAACGTAATAATTGCGTAAATCTAAATTTTTTTCACTATAATTGCATTTAAAGACCACCACATGTACATATTATGTATAGGTTATCTAATATTTGGTAGTAATCTCGAAACTTGTATAAAAACAACGGGGTTGTATACTGTACTCTCGTGTTATAAAAGGCCAAAAAACTTTTAAGTTATCTTTATCTATTTTAAGTTATAATTATCTGAAACGTTACAAAAATTGAGAACAATCACTTAATATTATCGGCTCTGGAATCACCTGAGAAAGTTTTGCTTGAATAACAAGCGTACTGAGAATTTATGCTGGAAGACGGTGAAAATTTTGATACAACTTTATAAAAATATATCAATCGGTATTAAACCGGGCCAACCTGGCATATATGTACCTTAGCCTCTGGCCGTGTTAGCCTAACTAAACCTAATCTTCTTGCAAAATGTGGGGCGTTGATCGATAGGAGTCTTTGAACAAGTAAGATTTTGCAGCAGAAGACGTTCGTAAAATTCTCAAGTTTATGTATGTAAATTGCTTTAGGAATAATAAAAGTAAAACTAAATGTCAACAAGAAGGAAATTTGACTTAATTTGCAATTTGATTGAAAGTTTGTAACATTTTAAATTATGGTCGGTCTAACCAAACATAATTTTGAGTATTATTCTAATTATTATTTTTTGTTTTTCTTAAATATTGCAGTCCTTAAATTTTCTTTTTTAAGTCTTTTTTTTTCCTTTATTTTCATCATTTTCTAGTCTAGGTTATATACCATTATTTGTATTATTTTCTAAGTGAAATTATTAGAGATTCTGTTGCACAATTTCGCTTTTATCTTTATTTTTATTATTTCAAATTATTCTTTTTCTTTTTTTACTACGATTATTAAGTTCTTTGTTATTGTTTTATTCTGTTTTTTTTTTGTAAATGGAATAAGGACAAATAATTGCTGCAGGACATAAAAGAGGCGGCAATAAAATGTAAAACAATAATTAAAAAACAAAAAAAAGGAGCAATAAGAAAAAACATATTTTCATTCTATTATTGGAATATTGTATTCAGTGGCATAAAAGTTTAAGGTTAAAAATGAGAAAAAGAGTAAAAGAAAGAGAGAAAAAAATGCAAAATAAAATATTATAGAGGAAAGGATAATTAAAATTTAAATCTTTTAATTATATTTGTATATGAAAGAAAAAAAAAATGGAAACAATATCCTTATTATTATTGCCTTTTATACAATATGCTTGACATTCTAGTGTATACACACAAAAAGGAAAATAAATAAAAATTAAAATATTATTCTGTTAATTAAATTATTTATCATTATCATTTTAATAAAATACTATAATTAAAATAAATTATTCCTTTATATTCTCAATATAAATATGAATTTTTTCTTTATATACAAATAGGAGCAATATAAGGATCATTATTGCATTTTTTCAATGAAGTAAAATAATTTCAGATCAAATGTTATCTGAGTGAATTTTACCATAATTATCATGAAAATCTTGTTAAATAATAATTAAATAGATATAAAAATACCATTCTTTGAAGTTATTCTCCATATGAAGGCACTAGGTTAAAAAAGAGAGAATACCAATTAATTTGGTTATTTGTTTGCAATAAATGGAGCAATAATAAAGCATAAATTTCTGAAGTTACTAAATTACGAAGCATATAAAGGTCTTAATGAATACATACTAGATTAAAATATATTTTTAATTTTACTTGAGATTTTGTGTTTCTTTGAATAACCAATTCTAAATTTAGATAATTATTAAAATTGTTGAGAATTACAATTGTATATTTGATTGTTTCCGGCATCGTTATATAAAACACTTTGAATTTGTAACACATGAAGTTGAATTTCGAAAACAATCTTTGTATGTTTTAACAATATTCTATACTAATTCTTACTATACGTTCATATATCTTTTGTTCTGTGTAATATTTACTAAAAAATTACAATTACTGCCAATTTTTTATTTATTAAGAGCCTTATAGTAAATTTCATATTGAATGCATATTAAAAATTTAAAATAGATTATAAATTCAATCAGTTAAAATTAAATTTAGCTTTGCTTATAAATTCTATATAATATTTTATGTTATGTGGTGACCATATTAACAAAATATGTTCAAAAATTATATTTGTTTATAGCAAATCTGTTAAACCCGAATATACATTCAATTTACATACATAATGCTTTACATGCTAATGCTTAACTTTATAAAATTTCAAATGATTCTTTATAATAAATGTTGATAATAAAAAAATTAGAATAGTTGTAGTTAACCGTATTAACTATGTTATACCTGAGCAAATTAAATTCAAGAAAGTGAAATTTGAAAATCTATTTTGCACAAACTTTCACTTTTTTTAAATTATAACTCTGTTACTCATAATATAACTTGTGCTACTTTAGCGATGTATCCAGTAAAGTATTCAGAATTTTTGTAGCTTTTGAATGCAAAATTTTCGGGTTATCGCTAACACAAAGGAACACGCGGACGAACAAACATTAGCTATATCGATTCAGAATTCAATGCTTATAGAAAGCATTTCCTTTGCTCTATATCTCGGACGTTCACTTGTCAGTACATACGTGAGTACGGGTATAATAGCCCAAATGATTCCAAATTAATTTTACTTGCATTGTAAGAAATTCCTTTATAGGCTTCTTTTATGTATTTATAGTGATTTATTTAGTATACAATTATTATTGCAATAAAATTTCACAAAATATATTTAATCATGGTCACTATTACTTTTATAATTAAAATTATAATTCAAAATTTTTCAAATTAAGTTCAGTCAAATGAAAATTTTCTATAT